TTCACCTATGGACATGAGCTTTGGGTAATGACCGAAAGAACGAGATCGCGGATACAAGTGGTCAAAATGAGCTTCCTCCGCAGAGTGGCTGGGCGCTCCCTTAGAGATAGGGTGAGGAGCTCGGTCACACGGGAGGAGCTCGGAGTAGAGCCGCTGCTTCTCCACGTCGAGAGGAACCAGTTGAGATGGCTCGGGCATCTGTTCCGGATGCCTCCTGGACGCCTCCCTGGGGAGGTGTTCCGGGCACGTCCCAACGGGAGGAGGCCCCGGGGAAGACCCAGGACACGCTGGAGAGACTATGTCTCTCAGCTGGCCTGGGAACGCCTTGGGGTCCCCCCGGACGAGCTGGAGGAAGTGTTTGTGGAAAGGGAAGTCTGTGCGTCCCTGCTTAGACTGCTGCCCCCGCGACCCGGCAACGGATAAAGCGGAAGAAAATGGATGGATGGATGGATCTTGAGTCGTCCTCGACCCTAACTCATCCCACCATGCCGCCAAAACAAGCAAAGAAGACTGAAAAACTGCCAGAAACTGTACTGCTTGCCGAGCACAGGTCAGCATTGCTGATAGAACTGAAGGCTTCATTTTTTGACGAAGTGAATGGGAAACTTTATGGACTCCAGAGGACGAGTGACAGCCACAACAAACGCTTAGAATCCCTTGAAGAGAATGCTGAATCACTTAATCAACGCCTTGTCGAGGTGGAGGATAGCTGCACTATGTTAAAGCCAGCAATGAGAAGCTAACAGCTAAGCTGTCCGACATTGAGGGAACAGACGGAACAACGCTCGTTTTGTGGGCCTGCGGGAGGGAATTGAAGGTCCGCAGCCATTCAAATTCTTTTCCCAAATGCTACAAGATGTTTTCGGGCAGGATATCTTCCCTACACCACCTGAATTGGACGGCGCGCATTGTAGCCTAGCCTCAAAACTGGGCCCTGGAGACAGGCCGCGGCCAATCATTGTCTGTTTGAATCGGTACCAAAACAAAGAACTTCTGATTCGGGAGGCTCGGAAGAAGGGAGAGCTGAAGTATTTGGACAAGCAGGGAAAAAGGATCTTACTCATTTGAAGAATCTTGGTGCAGGCATTGCATGTATTCAAGAAACTCATCTTAAGACCTCGGATAACGCTCGTTTGAAATGTGGATGAGTGAGACAGCTTTTTCACTCAAATTTTCAAGGTAAAGTCAGGGGTGTTGCTATATTAATAAATAAAAACATTGCTTTCACCCCATCCTCTGTTTTGGCAGATTCTAATGGGCGGTGTGTGATAAAGCATTCACAGGAATGCTTTATAATACCAATGTTGTGTTGGCCAACGTATATTCCCTGAATAGCGACGATCCACAATTTATTTCACGTCTTTTCGGGGTTAAAGTCTTGTCTAAATTCTAACTTGCTCATTATGGGAGGGGACTTTAATCTCTGTTTGAACGCTAGGATTGACAGATCGTCTCGGGTCAGACTTGGGTATCCATTATCTTAAATCCTTCTTAAATCATTATTTTTGTCATCCAATGGCATTTCTGATATTTGGCGTTTTTTACACCCTCCGGATAGACAATATTCTTTTTTTTCAAATTCTCATTAAACGTACAGCAGAATTGATTTTTTTTTTTATTGATAACAAATTGACCATAAACATTCAGTCATGTGATTACCAGGCTATGCTCAATTCTGACACCTCGCCCCTTTCATTGAAACTCAAACTACCTGGAGTCGTCTCTCCTAGGCGACTGTGGAGATTTAATTCTCTTTTACTTGGGGATAATAACTTTACTAAATTTATCTCAGATCAAATCTCTTTCTGGAGATTAATTTGACTCCGGTTGTCTCTATTGGGTCTGTGTGAGAGGCTCTCAAGGCCTATTTTAGGGACAAAAACATCTTGTTTTCTGCTAATAAGAAGCAGGAGTCTATTTCTAGGCAAAAATATTTAGAGAGGGAAATTGCTAATTTGGAGAGTAAGCACTCTTCGAACCCATCTCAAAATACCTACAAAGGAACGTCCGAGGGTGAGTGCTGAATATGGCAGACTTACCTCTCACTCAATAGAATATCTAAAATAAATAAAAGTAATATATATGAGCATGTAGATAAATCATTGGCAAAACAAGTGAAAGCTGCAAGGGCTAAACAGACCATCAATGGGGTAACCTCCCAGGGCGATAGTATTGTTACAGACCAGCAAGCTACTGTACCTAATAGATATTTTAAGAAGCTTGACTCTGCCGTTTCTACATTTATCTGGAATGGCAAAAAAAAAAACCACGCCTGCGTAAAGAACATTTGCAGAAACCAAAACAGAATGGGGTCTTGGCCTCCCAAACTTCCGTCATTATTACTGGGCTACTAATTTATTTTGTCTGTCATTTTGGGCGCACAATCAACCCGACAATAATGGCCCTGTATGGATGGAGATGGATTTCTGCGGAGCCTCTGTCTTTAGCAGCTGTTATTGTGGGGTCAATTCCATTAACTAAGAGTGTACGGTTTAGTAATCCTATTGTACACAACTCAAAATTTGCACACATATTATGAAACACTATCATGTTTTAAAGATGAGTTTACATACCCCAATTGCATCGATATATTTTTCTCCCCCTCAATGCAAGACTCGACATTCTGGAGGTGGCAACAACTGGGGCTAAAATCTTTTAAAAACCTATTTGTTGAGAACACGTTTGGCTCTTTTCAACAAGTGGCTGAAAAATACAAATGACCAGCCTCTAATTTTTTCTGATATTTGCAGGTACGTCATTATATTTCAAGCTCAATCTCAGGGTTTCTGCTCGCGTCTCCCAATGATGTGATGGATGATGTATTGTCCTTCAACCCAACTACAAAAAATCAATAACATCAATACTTGGGTGGATCTCACATTTAAATGTACAATCTAGTGCAGTTATTAGAAGGTCAAAGGAACAAGACTTGCAGGGAAGATGCTGATCTAATCCACATGTTCTGGCTCTGTCCCAAGATACAGCAGTTTTAAGATGGTTATCGTGAAGCATTTTCCTGCATATTTGGGGTTTCAATCCCACTGAGCCCACTGTTGTTTCTGTTCGAGGTGGATGTGGAGGGGTTAGCTCTACCTGTTGGCGGTCACAAACTTGTTGCCTTCTCAACATTACTGGCATGACACGCCTGATTCTGCTAAAGTTGAAGGATGCTGTCCCGCCCACAGTTTCACACTGGATTAAAGATGTGTTATTTCATCTTAAATTGGAAAAGATTAGATATGCTCTAAGGCAGGGGTGCTCACACTTTTTTAGCATGCGAGCTACTTATAAAAGGATCAAGTCAAAATGATCTACCTACTACAAAAATGCAAATCATATATTTCAAAAAATATTCTTTATATCTACAATGTATGTTTATGTACATGCAAAACCGCATGAGCCAATATAGCACAACACAACACAATTACCTATGTACATTTTTTGTCATTACCCGAGTTTACTCTTATGACTTGCACTGAATTGAATCGGCCAGAGATGCATAGTCCGGAAAATTGGTGGTAACTCGCTGACAAGTTTGTCGTGGTTTAGCTTTCCTGCACTGAGCGCGGTTGTTTGCGCATGTGCAGTCACCTAAGTGTCAGTAAAACATTACTGAGTAAAACACAGATGCCATTTGACTGTGGTGCCATGTCCATGTGCCATGCCTGTTTTTTTTAAAATCCAAATATTTCCCCTTCTCCGTTTATAAAATAATTTGCATCCACACATCTGCGTTATCAATCACATTCGTAACATTCCAAACATGTGCGTCTCTTACGTCCTGTCCTGCGTTGGGGAAAAACACAGAAGTGGGCGGAGTTCTGATGCAGACGCCGGTAACGGCACTTTTACAGTCATAGAAGACACTCAGAGTAAAGAGTAAGACGTATGTTTACAAGCACTGACCCCGTCCTCAGCCCTGGTTTAGTCCTGGTTTAGTCCCGGTTTGGTTGTTTTCTAGCGTGAGTCCCCGCGATCACTTTGCTGCTCTCTGATGTGGAGCGAGGATGTTCGCTGCTGCGAGCATCTCACAGTGAACAGTTTTTAAGGTAGTATGATCCATGCTTCAGTGATCAGAGGAATTTAGGGCGGTACTTTGGCGTGCGAGAACGCAAAACTCTGGTTATTTCTGTCTACACACAAATGCATTAACGGAGATTTCAAAAATCTCCACTTTGCCCGGAGTTTTTTGTATAAATTCGTTTAGAATGTGTAATTTTGTATTTATTTAATGCGATCTACCAATACTACCTTTGCGATCGACTGGTAGATCGCGATCGACTGGTAGATCGCGATCGACGTATTGAGCACCCCTGCTCTAAGGGGTTCAGAAAAGGAATTTTATCAGATTTGATAAATACTTTACTAGTATTTTTTGATCAACCATCTGTAACTGCAAAGGAGTAATAGTCATGTGTGTATGTATATTATATAAATATGTACACTTGTGTGTACGTATATCTAATTTGTGGTTTGAATGAAGACACCAGGGTTGTTCTTTGAGGGTGGGGGGGGGGGCTCCTTCCTTTTTTATACTATTTTTTTTTTATTTGTACTTAAAATGAAAATTAATAAATATATCAAACACAAATGCTTGATTCTATGATTACTCTGCATCATGTAGCTCTTACATTCTTGTGCTCACATGTGTGTAATCGCATCGAGTCTATCACAAAGCTCTGTCTGCTTTGTCCGCTCCCGCCAGAGCCGGAATAGGACTCCCAAGATCTAGTTGTATGTTGCATTTCACTCATTTATTTACCTTTATTTAAGTTAAATTTCAGAATCTCTTTTTCACAGGAGAGAGAGAGAAGCAACCTATCATACATGTTTTTAGTGGTGGGGAAACGAGCACCCGGACCAATATGGTTTGCTTGAAAAGACCATTTATAGATTTGTTGTTTGTTGTGTTCACCAAAATATTAGACACATAACTGAAATGATTAAAAACACCAATAAAACCAGAAATGTAACCAATGTGTTTTTGGAGAGGCACATGCCTGGTTGTAGGTGCAGTTCTTTTTCTTGCACTTGTCACACTGCAGCAGGTCAGTGCTGGTGCCTCCGGTTTTTGCCATCTGGTGCTCGCGGATTGCCTCCTGCGTCAGGACGTTCCTCAGCTGCTTCAGCTCATCACTGGCCATTTCCTTTAAAATATAACAACAACTTACATGAATATAGACACTCTTCAAATTACTTGACATCAGGTGTTATTACATGTACTGTATGTTTTGACAAGGGTGAATGTACTGTATTTGCTTTTGGTTATACTATACTTTACTGTCTCCATATGGAAAAGTGTCCTCTGCATTTGACCAACCCTTCAACACCACTAGGAGCAGCGGTCTCAACAGGTATCACTATCTGGACCCATGTCCAGTTAGTGATGCTCTTGATCAGGACTGGAGCTGGAGTATTTTACCTATAGTGCGTGATTTGGGTGATAGGGGGAAACCAGAGGGCCTGAGGAAAACCCACCCAGACACGAGTAGAACACGCAAACTCCATACAGAATGCCCCGGGGCGAGACATGATCAAACTCACAACTTCTCGGTGTGAGACCTATGCTGCGTTCAGACCAAACGCTTTTCGGGCGTCAAAATCCAACGACTTGTGACAGATTTTGTCAGACACTGTCACTGAGCGTTCTGGAGGCACGTCCAGAACACTCAGAGGGAAGAGAGCGTTTTGGGGCGAGGCTTCTCTTTTGCCTGTAGTTTCCCAACATGGATGACATTGAAAGAGTGGCTTAGCTTTATCTCATATATAAAGCCAGACAACGTTGTCAAAGGGCGCATCGGCGAGTGTCTGGATTCACCATATATTCTGCAGATGTTCGGAGTATGGTGAGTTTCACCATTTGAGAGTCGCTTTCAACAGTACTTCAGTCTCTCCAGGGCCCAGTTTGTCGAGCTACTGACCCGCATTGGCGCTTGCATCTCCTACCAGGACACCAACTACAGGCGCTCTTCCAGTAGAAGAGCACCTATCCACAATTTAATGTAATTAATGTAATTTTTATGTTCATAATTTTTTTTTTAATTGCAGGTTTCTTGCCACTGGGGACTCCTACAGGACCATTGCAGGGAGAAACGTTCCGTTCGGCAGCGTAGTGATAGGAGCCTGTTGCTTCGATTACTCCTCTGAGCAGCCATCGTGTCATGCAGAGGGTGTCTGGAGTTACCCAGGATGCCCTGCATTGGAGCCCTCATCCTTCTCTCCAGCACAGCTCCCACAGAGTCCACACTTCTCCCCATCAAAGAGACACATTTCCTGATCAGTCTGTTGAGCCGGTTACTGTCTCTTGAGGTCAGACTGCCGCCCCAACAAGCAACCCAGAAGAACACAGCACTAGCTTCCACAGACTGGTAAAAAATGTGCAACATTTGACAGCTCACATCAAAGGACCTCAGTCTACTCAGAAAGAAAAGCCTGCACTGACCTTTCTTGTAGATGGCATTGGCATGAGCTGACCAGTCCAGTCTGTGGTCCAGGTGGACTTCCAGATATTTATAGGAGTGAACCACATCAATGTCCTGTCCATTTACTGTGACCGGTCGATGGGAAGGGCTCCTGTGAAAGTTGATGATCATCTCCTTGGTCTTGGACGCATTGAGAATCTGTCCATTTCTCTCACTCCAGTCTGAGAAGTAATCTTTTATTTATTTATATACTGCCTTTTCACTGCACATCGGAGTCTCAAAGCGGTTTACAATTGTTATTTTTGGGAGTGGGGTTGCCAGTACAGGAGGCATATGCCAGATCTATTGTACATATTTTTAGTGGTAGGGGAAACTGGAGCACCCGGAGAAAACCTACGCAGACACGGGGAGAACATGCAAACTCCACTCAGAAAGGCCCTGGTCCAACCGGGATTCGAACCCAGGACCTTCTTGCTGAGAGGCGAGAGTGCTATCCACTCGGCCACCGTGCCGCCCAAGGCAGCCACCACCTCCCTGTACTCTGCTTCATCCCCCCCCCCCCCCCCCCTTCACACATGCCATAACAGCGGTATCGTCAGAGTATCGCATGTAGCAGAGTTGTGTGCAAAGTCTGCATGAAAGAAGGGAGCCAGAACGGTACCCTACCTTGTGGTGCTCCCGTATTGCTTACAACAGTCCCAGACACGCTCTTCCCTAACCTGACATAGATACAAGGTCACTGTAAATGCAGTTGGTAAAGATACGATCAACTCCAATCTTCTCCAGTTTCTCTCTCAGTCACAGAGGTTGGATGGTATTAAAGGCACTGGAGAAGTCGAAGAAAATCAGCCTCACAAAACCTTTAAGGCCACCCAGGAAGGACACGGATCGATGGAGCATGTAGAGGACCGCGCCATCCACTCCCATTTTCTCCTGCTAGGAAAACTGCAGGGGGTCAAGAGCCTGCTCAATATGTCGGAGTATTAGCCTCTCGAAAGTCTTCATTATGACAGATGCTAGTCCTCTTATATAAATATTTCAAATAATATTTAAAAAAAACTCTGAAAATGTATAAGATAAAATAATAATATTCATTTACAGAATAAATCCAACAAATTTAATGTTCTCTACTAAAATGTAACGTAATTTTGGAGAGTCAGGATCAAACCACGCCCCTCACAGAAAGTAAGGTTCGCCGTGTCTGGGATGTTTACGGTGAGGACCAAGTTGACCAACTGACCAAGCAGAGAGGAATAAACGGTGTTTCAACGCAAACATGTCAAAAAGACAATTGAATCTTATGTCTTTTTACAAGAAGACGGACAAGTTGCATGATGCTTCAAAACGAGTGAGGAAAGCAGCAAGTGGCGATGCTAGTGACCAGGAGGCAGAGGTTAGCCCCGCAACAGGTGATCCGGTTCATAGCCAGCATGAGTGGGGGGCAGATACCGCCATCAACAACCGGAGCAAGAGGCCAGTACGGAGACATCAGCTTGCCAAGTACAGCAGCAAGAGGCAGGAACCACAACATCAACGCGCTTTATACATGAAGCATCAGAGGGAGAGCGCACTGAGCAGAGAGGAATGTGGGTTATCCAGCGACAGGTCAGTGGGATGCGCAACTGTTTGGACTGCAGCTCAGTTCAAGGTGAAGCAGAGTTACTACCCCTGGCTTCTTATAGACAATTTGGGTTTGGGCTGCACAATTTGTAAGGCGGTGGGGACTTTGGGGCGAGAGAAGACGGGGGGGATGAAACTTGTGAGTGGGTGTCAAGTACAGAAGTCCAGATATTAAAAAACAGCAACGCGCGCTCAGAAAAAAAGTATTTGAACATGCCCGTACCAAGGCTCACCTAGCAGCAGCAAGTATTCTTGAGAAGGCTAAAGACGACACTTTAGGACAGTCTATAATGAATAGTCTGAACAGATGACTATGACAGCTCGCGTCTTTCGCACGGCGTACAAGGAGGCTAAACGCAACCGTCCCGCAAATGGGTTCGAACAGGAGATTGATTGCCAAGAGTTAAATGGACTCGATATGGGGAGGATTTTGTGTAGAGCATTTTGGACAACTAAATAGGTATGCATACTGTATATTAATAGGCCGCCGTGCCAACCTTGAAATAATAATTGGAAGATTTGTGTGATTTATTGTAAGCTCTGATTTTTTTGAGAAATGAATTACTGACTTTAAGTCCCACCTGCGGTGAAGTGGGCATTTGCCTATGTTGTGCAGAGTAACCTATAGCCTAACTATTTGTATAATATGTATTATTAAAGAGCGACTAATGTTGTGGTCAGTTTCCCAGCATCAGGAGATTGTGTTGTGCTCCCGGACGGGAGATTGTATTTTCATAACTCACTGTTACATTACACAAAGACTCTCTTGTCTTCAACACAAAGGGACATTCTGCTGTCCTCTTTCCCATAGGGGCTGATCACCCGGGATTCCAATCAATCTCGTCGCTTTCCCAACACTCTGGACGGGCGGACTACCCGGACGTGCTGAGTTTCAACCGTCGCCTCTCGGGATTTTCACACGAACAAACGGTAAATTGTTTAATATTTGAGTTTCTATGCTTCAGTGGTGAATCCGGGAGGACGCGTGCATGTGGGAGTGCCAGCTGGTGACGGAGCTGCTCATTCTAAATCCAGGCTGTCTAAAATCTAAGTTAAAGTCTTAGTTTCAGGGTTCGAGTCCCTGGTTGTGGAACAGGTCAAAGTCCTGTTTGTTTGTAAATCCTAGGTTAGAGTCCTGGGCAGAGTTAGAGTCTCTGTTTGACACGGGTTCGAGTCCCGTCTGAAGTCTTAGTTCTGGGGTTTAAGTCCTCAGTGGTGTAACAGGTTAGAGTCCTGTCTGATTGTGCAACGGGTTCGAGTCCCGTTTGCTGATAAATCCTGGGTTTGAGTCCTGGGCAGAGTTTGAGTCTCTGTTTGTGTTTCTGAGTTCGAGTCTCAGAGTCCAGCCATGTGGCTTAGAAGAAAACGCACAGAGTCACCGGTTTGGGACTCACCATGCATGACTTTGATGAGAAAGAAACATGGGGATGAATTTAAGACATGCGTTGAAATGTGGGTGGCTGAATTGGGCTTTCCCAAAAGTGGGTCTTTCAGTCTAAACCAGTTGGACAAAATCAAATTACAATTGGATGAAAAGGAAGCTCTACTTAAGAAGGGAAAGACTGTGCGTATGAAAGATCTGAACTGTCTGGATGAACATAAACGGTGGCTGACTGTGTGGATGGCTGAGGCAAAGTTTAGAGACAGTAAACAGAAAAATACATCTGTAGAAAAGGTAGAATATGCAACTGATCATTCTCCATCTGCTTTTTTTTCTAGTACTCCACAACCTCGGAGCTCACATCAGTATGGACGCAGGAACTCAAGAAGCGATTGGTCATCGCTGTACCCCCCTCTCCCACCCCAATATCAACCCCAATATCAACCAGAAGCAGCACCTGACGCTGCAGGCGCGACGGGACCAGCCTCACCGCCAGCAGCAGCCCTCCCTCCGCTCAGCCCCTCCCCTCCTGTCTGGAGCAGGGCACAGTGAGGCTGCTTCTTCGCCGCTCCGCTCTGTGACACATGATCTGGGTAAAATCACTCTAAATGACAATGGCATGACGCTGAGAGATGGAAAGACTTTACAAGCGCCTATGATAGAATACCCGGGCCCACAGGGAACCCCAATTCTGGTTTTGCGTCAAATGGACCAGGAGATGAAA